GTCTCAGAATTCTGACTTTTTTCTCAGAATTCTGACTTTAATCTGACTTTAATCTGACTTTAATCTGAGTTTTTTTTTTTAAAGTCAGAAGTCCCTTTCAGGCAGATGGACACCAGAGAGCAACAAGCTTTAGAACCACCGATGCTTGTGGTGCAGAATTCAGAATTCTGAGAAAAAAGTCAGAATTCTGAGATTAAAGTCAGAATTCTGAGATTAAAGTCAGAATTCCTTTTTTTAATTTTTCGGTGGCCCTAATCCTCTTCCGTAGTTTTACATCTTAGTTCCCTTTTTTGTTTGTTTCTTGTTTTCTGTATCTTGGTATTTATTCCTGTATGTAACCTGTTACACCTTTTGTCACCTAATCAGCTCAGCTGCCTCCAATACCTGAGTTAATTTTATTTTTAATTTAACCCCTAAGCTCCTCAGTCAGTCTGCACTCAGGTCTTATCAAACCACAAACTCTTGAAAAGTATTTTTAATAAAACTCTTTGTTTTTATCAGGAGGAAATGATTCTGAAGCTGTGGGTCGTCACATTTTTCCAGGTCTAAGAGGGCTTTTTGTGCCTTTTTTTTTTAGTAAAAGTAAATCTTTCTTTCAAACTGTTTGACCTCATGTTCTGCAGAGAACTGCAGATCAAATTAAATAAATAATACATTATAACTGTGTATTTTCTTATATCTAACTCTCATCCTACTGACCCAAGACTTGCAGGTACGTCTCATGTTTCTTGATTTAAATAGTGATTTTTTAAAGAAGACATTTACAGGGACAGAACCAGGATCAAATGTTCCCCTTGTGACACTAAAGTGAGTCACTTCCTGCAGATGATTTATTTAAGAAGAGAAAACTCGTAAGTTTTGTCACATAACAAATGAGTTCAGTTATTTTTTCTGTTATCTCAGCCTGAGAAGATGGATAACCATAAACTGGTTGGGTGGAATGCTAGGTGTTTTATTTTTACCTTCAATTCATTTCTTGTAAACGCTGGGAGAAGCTGCTGAGGTTTCAGTTTCATTCTGACAGAAAGTAAAGGAACAGAATATAAACCCCTCCTGTCTCACTTCTTCACTCAGCTGCAGCTTCAGATCTCCTCTTTTTAACAGAAACAGCTTCTCTAAACAGGACCGGCAGCTTTGGTGAGTAAAAGTTTTATTCTTTTCAAACAACAGTGATTATTCTCAGTGAAACGTGTTTAAAGCAGCAGAACCTTTCAGCGTGTGTACACTGTAAAGAAAATAATAAAATACACCATCTACTCGATAAAAACGAGGCAGATTCAATGTTAAGAATTAAATAAAATTAAATAAATGAGACTTTCAGTACTGTTAATTTAAGATAAGTAGATTTAAACATTAAACAGTACAGACTTAACCCTCCTGCTTTCTTTTTGGGGTCCATTTGACCCCACTAATGTTTGGTGGCGGTGGGGTCCTCCTGATCCCCACCTGATTAGGCGGTGGTTGCGGGGGCAAAGGTGGGTTGGGGTGGGCTTATTAGGTGGTGTTTGTTGGTGGCCTGGCTGGATCCCCAAGAGGCAGCCATGACTTTTACTTGCTAGCTTTTTTAGTGCGCCGCAAGAAAAGCAAAATTACTGCTCAAATATTGAGTTGATTTAAAAAAAAGATAAACTCTTATTAAAATAAGAAAAACACCCTCACCTGTAATCTCTGCTTCCTCAGTGTTGGTACCAAATCTAATTTGTAGCCCCTCCCACTTACTCTCTGTTGCTGCTGAGTCTTTTTTATAGCTCATTTTATATTATATTTTACCACCATACATAAGTTGTTCTCACTAGGGGAAAAAAACAAAGGTTTCCTGACCTTGGTAAGATAAGCAACATAGATGATCATTCACTGTCTGAACTCTCAAATGTCTTGTAGCACAGAGAAGTGCCTTTCATTTCATATTTAGCTGATTACATTAATTTAAATTCACTCAATTTTCTCTCTGTTTGAATAAACATATTGTTTATGTTTTAGTTTTCCAAACATTTTTATTTTAAATTTAATTCAACAATTGCTTCAAAATCAAAAACTCAATTATGCTGAATATAAATTTCATAATAAATTAAGTCAAATGTACCTGGCCACAGAATCATTTCTTACAGTAGATTTCTATAATCAGGCTACAGGACAGATGAATGTTTAATGTTTTTGTGGTGTTTTGTCTTTTTCTCCTGACAAACTGTTTATAAAAAGATAAATATACAGTAAGTACAATAATAAAAAGACATTTATTAAATGAGTGATAAAATGAATAATTCTGTCTACAACCTGTTTCAGGAACACGCAGCTGTTGTCCTAACTGTGACGTTTTTGATTCAATTGTTTCTGACATGTCTAATTTTTATTTTTTTTTTTCATATGTATGTATGAGAGTTTCTTAAAAAATAAAAACATATTTCATTCAGTTCTTGTTTTAAATTTAAACAAACTGATGGTCCTGGTGCTGTTTTTTAAAAACTGCTGACACAAACGTGTTTCCTCCACAGGAACGATGCTGATAAACAACAGTGAGGTGAGGATCGTGATGGTGGGGAAGACCGGGATTGGGAAGAGCGCCACCGGAAACACCATTCTGGGTCAGAAGTTCTTCCAGTCCAAGTGCAGTCCCAAGTCTCTGACCGTGGACTGTGCCAAAGGTCAGGCTGAGCTGTATGGACAGAAGGTGGCCGTCATCGACACTCCAGGTCTGCTGGACACCAGGTTTGATGAGGAGAAGACACAGAAAGATCTGGGCCAGTGCATCAGGTACGCTTCCCCTGGACCCCACATCTTCCTCGTGGTCATCTCTCTGACCAGGTTCACCGAGGAGGAGAAGCAGACGGTGCAGAAGATTCAAAAGATCTTTGGAGAGGCTGCAGACAGATACAGCATGGTCCTCTTTACTCATGGAGACAACCTGGAAGACACCACGATCGAAGAGTTCCTGGATGAAGATCCAAACCTGCAGGAGCTCGTGACCAGGTGTAACGGTCAGTACCACGTCTTCAACAACAAGCTGAAGGCTGACAACTCTCAGGTCGCTGAGCTCCTGCAGAAGATCGAACTCATCGTCCAGAAGAACGGAGGAAGCCACTACACCAACGAGAACTTTCAGGAGGCAGAGAGGCTGATCGAGGAGGAGAAACAACGAATCCTGAAGGAGCAGGAGGAGAAAATCCGCAGAGAGAGAGAAGAACTGGAGCAAGAAATCCAAGGAAAATATGAAGTGGAAATGCAGAAAATCAACGAGAGACTCCAGGCTGAGAGAGAGAGGGAGAAGAGGGAGAGAGAGGAGGAGAGGAAGAAAGAGAGGGAGGAGATGAACGAAGAGAGGAGGAAGGAGTTCGAGAGGATGAGAGAGGAAAGAGAGAGAGAGAGGCAGGAGAGAGCCAGAGAGCTGGAAGCTACGAAAAAAGATTTAATGGAGCAGAAAGACAGAGAGTTCAGACAACAAGAAGAGAGGCTGAGGTCTCAGTACGAGCAGAGAGCCAGGGGGCAGGCAGAGAGGAGGAGCGGCTGCACCATCCTCTAATAAAAACTACCGTCTTTATTTTAGCTGCTTGTTTTGTTTTTAATGAGTTTGTTCCTCACATTGTCTGTCAGCTGATCAGCAGATCTCTGTTCATTTCCCCTCTCTGCTGTTTATTGTTGGAGCAGATTTAATGGGATCACCTTCAGCAGCTTCTGTTCCAGCTGTTTGATGCATCCTGTCTAAACTCTGTGTTTCTGAGGCTGTTTATTTTATTATGTTTAACATGTTAAACATTTTATAGAGATGATTGATTAAATCATTTGTTGAAATAAATCCTGATTCTAATGAAACACAAATAAAGGGAAATTGAACTCAGCCTCGTGCTTCTGTTTATTCTGACAAACCCCAGAGAATAAACTGAAACCAGATACTGCACAGTGGCAGCGTACATATATGACCCCTGCAGGTACACAAAGCACCAACTCACCAGAACAGATTCGTTGTTTTGGGTGGGGGTCCGAAAGAGGAGGGGGGCTCATTGGTGGGCCTGATGGATAGCCCTTCATCAGCTAAACAACAAAAATCTGAAGCTCCTATGTTGAACAGTTTTTGAGTTATAAGCATTTTTGCATGTCCAGACACCCCCTCTTTAGATGGACCCCCTTCTCAAATATAGGGTGTATCATAAAACTGTTGGCTGGAACAGTGTAGGTCGGACTCATCTACATTCCTGACAAATTTCATGTTTATCGGTGCAGCTGTTTCCACGCTACTGTTACTAAAATCACTGAAGAAAAATAAAAGATCCATTAAAAATAACCTAAATGACCTTCAGATGACCTCTGTCCTAGTTCTGGTCTTTTTGCCAGTTTTGTGTAAAACTACTCTTAAAATCTCATCTTTATTTATCTATAATTTATTGATAAGATGATTTAGTCCCAAAGTTTTCAGCGTTGACCCACAAACTAAAAACAGCAGCAGAAAACTCTTTCGGGTGAAAAACATTCATATCAGCTAAAATAAACAAGTGAAAATATTCATTGTGTTACTTTTATCTATTTCTAAGTTCTAAACTCACTCTTTAATAATGACAAAAACAAAATAAATGCTGTTAGTAATTTTTTAATGTAATTCAGTCTCAAAATCCTTTAAGGACCCAACTTTGATGTTTCAGGACCCTAGGTGGGGCCCTGAAGCCAACTTTGATGTTTCAGGACCCTAGGTGGGGCCCTGAAGCCAACTTTGATGTTTCAGGACCCTAGGTGGGGCCCTGAACCCAACTTTGATGTTTCAGGACCCTAGGTGGGGCCCTGAACCCAACTTTGATGTTTCAGGACCCTAGGTGGGGCCCTGAACCCAACTTTTGGAACCACAGTTTTTCCTTCTTGCCTGTTTGTTTTTAAAAAGCTATTCTAAGTGTGAAACTGCAACATTTGGACACTTGTGTCGCAGCAGACAGGAGATCTTGTGTAATAAAAAGCCCCGGGCTGCATCAGACCTGCAGCTGCAGGTTTTTAGAGGAACAGGAACCAGTTAGTTCTGAGGAACAGGAACCAGTT